TTATGTCCACTGTCACACGTGGTCACTGTCTTTCTGGTGGTTTTTGTTTTGTTTTTGTTTTGTATTTTTTTAGGGAAGGGTCTATAGTATGTTCAGAGTCTCACCACTAGATTGGACTCATAGTGATCCACCTGTTTACAGCCTCCCAAGGGGCACACGCCACCACGCCCAGTCTCAATTGCTGTCTCAGCACGCCCCAGGGGGCAGGGCCAGCAGGGCAGGCCTGAGGATCGAACCCCCAGCCCCTGAGCCTGCTTGCAGGTGTTTTAATCCTCTGAGCTATCTGGCTGGCCCTCACCTGGTGTTTTGCTAAGAGATTTCCTTAAATGCTTGGATCCAGTAGTGTTGTTTGTTTGTTTTCTGAGGTGTTCTATATTTTTAAAATCCCCTTGAGATCCAGGCATGGTGGAGTACACCTGCTCGCTGTAAGTTTGAGGCCCACCTGAGCTGTAGAGCGAGACCCTGCCTCAAAAACCACAGTCACTTAACCTTCCTGGCCTGTGCCACTGGTAGGCTCTTGGCAGGGTGGGGTTAGGTGATGTGTGGCTCACAGCTTGCAGGTCCCCAAGCACTGCCCTTAGCCACAGGGGAGGTGGGGGTGCAAGTCCTGAGTCCTCTTCCCCCACATCCCACAGCAGTGTTCTGAATCTCTATGGGAGGTGCCATGACCCTGGGTGAATTTCTTAAACAAATAGGCCTGTGATTCATCTGTCCTGAGGGCCTGCTGGGTCCAGGGCCCCATTTTTTTGCAGCTACTCTGTCCTCCTCGGGGTGTAGTGCACAGCCCCCACAGTGGTCCTGCAGCAGGCAGGCAGTCTGGAAGACCGGGGCAGCCCCTGTGGTTACTTCCAGGGGTGTCCCCTTGCCCTCAATCCCTTGCAGGCTGGTAGACAAGCCCACTACACTAAAGGCCTGCCTGCTGCAGCCCCTCAAGCTGTGTGGCTTCCGGAGTCCTCCAGTCTCCTGCCCCAGTCTGTACCAGCAGGGGGAACAGGCTGATCAGGACAATGGGAGTTCTTATTTGAGAACCATGTAGCTCAGGTTGGCCTTGAACTCCTGCCTCAGCCTCCCCAGGTGCTGGGATTATAGGTGCACACACCTGTGCCCTACTCAGAATGATGGCATTTGCCTTGGTTTCTGATTTCTGGTGTTGGTCGTTGTTCCTAATGGCCCATGAGAAGCCACTTGGAGGCTGAAGCTGTGGGGATCAGATTTTATTCCTCCACCTACAGGCAGGCTAATATCCGGGGGATAGCAGCAAATATCTATGTAAAGGTTTAAGGTTGGGGATGTCATTTCTTTTTTAAACATTTTTTTTTTAAAACATTTATTTATTTGTGTGTGTGTGTGTGTGTGTGTGCGCGCGCGCGCGCACGCGCGGCCAGCTCAGCCCACCAGGGGGCGGGCTGGCTGGCATGTGGTGCTGGGGGATCGAACCGCGGTCCCTGTGCATTGCCAAGCTTGTTCAAGTAGGTGCTTTAGACCACTGAGCCATCTCTCCAGCCCCATGGGGATGTCATTTCAAGGAAACTCAATCTGGTTGAAATGTTGGCCTTGAAGGTGGAAGGGGCAATCAGGGCAGTTGGTACACAGAGCTGGCATCAGGGCACTACAGGGCGACCTGAGCCCCACATTAAACTTTTTATTGCCCTTGCTTCTTGTTTACCTGGGTCAAGCCAAAGCCTTTCACGGACAGTCCATGGCTCATGGTGGGCACGTGTCTCTTGGGTCACACTCTGGCCAGTCCTGACTGTCACGTGTGCCTTCTTTCCTTGGTTAGTCTATCTTTTTTTTTTTTTTTTT